CTCGAAGGGAGGGGGGGGGGGAATGCCAGCTCTGGACTGTCTTTCTCTTGCACCACGAAACGGAAACGCACCTGGAAATGGCGGCAAAGACTCAGACGCGAGTCGGACAAAAACCGCAAGATCGGAAGCTCTCAAAACAATGGCCGACTCCAGAAACCCTGACCCGACAATGTTGATATTTCGCTCGTACTCAGCGCCTCTCTAACGGGGACTCCACTAACGGGCACTTTGGCCAGTGACCAGGCGAACCCAACCCTCCCCGATGTGGGCAACGCTGCAGTGCCAGCAAGAGGCCCTAAAATGGCAACCTTCGGAAAATCCCCAAAGTACCCATTAATGAATACGGCAGGTTCGTGTCGTGTCGACCCTGACGTTGGTTTCTGCCACCGCGGGGATCGTTCAACCTTGCACGATCGGGCGCCTCCGAAACGCCAGCTCGGTCAACATCGACCGATTCTGGGTCGCTGAATGCCAGCGGCGGAGTCGCCGCTGGTCGACACGACGCGAACCTACTCCTCCTCCTCCTCCTTCTCCTCCTCCTCTTCTTTTTATTCGTCTTAATATTATTATTCTTCTTAGTATTATTGTTATTGTTCTTATGCTAGTGTGAGCATTCTTCTTATTATTATTGTTATTATTGTTTTTAGTTTGTGGGTTAGTCTTATTTTTAATATTGCTATATTAGTATTATTAGTATTATTAATGTTATTAGTATTATTGTTATTAGTATTCGTCTTATTTTTATTAGTATTATTATTATTAGTATTATTATTATTATTGTTATTAGTAGTATTATTAGTATTAATATTAGTATTAGTATTAATATTTACCTAACAGCGAAGACTGATAGGCTTCTAATGGGCTAAAAAGAGAGCAGCAGATGACTCCACAGGGGGGTCTGGGCGGGTGCCGGACAGGGTGCCGCAGAAGTCGTTTTAAGCCAACAGTCACACACTTCGTGCTCTTCGACCTCCCAGAACTCCATTCCCGGGCCACATTCTGAATGCCCGGAGCCAACTGTAGGCCACTTCGTGCTCTTCGACTTCCCAGAACTCCATTCCCGGGCCACATTTTGAATGCCCGGAGCCAACTGTAGGCCACTTCGTGGTCTTCGAGTTCCCAGAACTCCATTCCCGGGCCACATTTTGAATGCCCGGATCCAACTGTAGGCCACTTCGTGCTCTTCGATTTCCCAGAATTCCATTCCCGGGCCACATTTTGAATGCCCGGAGCCAACTGTAGGCCACTTCGTGGTCTTCGAGTTCCCAGAACTCCATTCCCGGGCCACATTTTGAATGCCCGTAGCCAACTCAGGCTGAGGCAGGCTGCTGCTGAGGCAGGCTGAGGCTGAGGCTGAGGCAGCCTGAGGCTGAGGCTGAGGCAGGCTGAGGCAGACGCTGAGGCAGGCTGATGCAGAGGCAGGCTGAGGCTGAGGCTGAGGCTGATGCAGGCTGAGGCTGAGGCTGAGGAAAAGGTTGAGGCTAAGGTTGAGGCTGAAGCTGAAGCAGGCTGAGGCTGAGGCTGAGGCAGGCTGAGGCTGAGGCTTAGGCAAGCTGATACTGAAGCAGACTGAGGCTGAGGCTGAGGCAGGCTGAGGCTGAGGCAGGCTGAGGCTGAGGCAGGCTGAGGCTGAGGCCGAGGCTGAAGGCAGACTGAGGCTGAGGCTGAAGCAGGCTGAGGCTGAGGCTGAGGCATGCTGAGGCTGAGGCAGGCTGAGGCTGAGGCTGAGGCAGGCTGAGGCTGAGGCAGGCTGAGGCTGAGGCCGAGGCTGAAGGCAGACTGAGGCTGAGGCTGAAGCAGGCTGAGGCTGAGGCTGAGGCAGACTGAGGCTGAGGCTGAGGCAGGCTGAGGCTGAGGCTGAAGCAGGCTGATGCTGAGGCAGGCTGAGGCTGAGGCTGAGGCTGATGCAGGCTGAGGCTGAGGCAGGCTGAGGCTGAGGCCGAGGCTGAAGGCAGACTGAGGCTGAGGCTGAAGCAGGCTGAGGCTGAGGCAGAGGCAGGCTGAGGCTGAGGCTGAGGCAGGCTGAGGCAGAGGCAGGCTGAGGCTGAGGCTGAGGCTGATGCAGGCTGAGGCTGAGGCAGGCTGAGGCTGAGGCTGAGGCTGAGGCTGTGGCTGTGGCTGAGGCTGAGGCTGAGGCAGGCTGAGGCAGACGCTGAGGCAGGCTGAGGCTGAGGCAGGCTGAGGCTGAGGCTGAGGCTGAGGCTGAGGCGGATGCAGGCTGAGCTGAGGCAGGCTGAGGCTGAGGCTGAGGCTGAAGGCAGACTGAGGCTGAGGCTGAAGCAGGCTGAGGCTGAGGCCGAGGCAGGCTGATGCTGAGGCTGAGGCAGGCTGATGCTGAGGAAAAGGTTGAGGCTGAGGCTGAGGCAGGCTGAGGCTGAGGCTGAGGCAGGCTGAGGCTGAGGCTGAGGCAGGCTGATGCGGAGGCAGGCTGAGGCTGAGGCTGAGGCTGAGGCTGAGGCTGCTGCAGGCTGAGGCTGAGGCAGGCTGAGGCTGAGGCCGAGACTGAAGGCAGGCTGTGGCTGAGGCTGAGGCTGAAGCAGGCTGAGGCTGAGGCTAAGGCAAGCTAAGGCTGAGGCTAAGGCAGGCTGATACTGAGGCAGGCTGAGGCTGAGGCTGTGACTGTGACTGCCGTTGCCACTGCGACTGTCATCGCGAATGCGACTGCGACTGCGAGAACAGGAGAATTCTACAACTGGATTCTCATCTGGATCTTAAGGGGAATGTTTCCATATATGCTTCTACACATCGCTGTTAGGTTGCTTTGCCGAGATAATAGTATTATTAATTTTAATAGTATTACTATTGTTTTTGGTAGTATTATTGTTACGATTATGATTATTATTAGTATTAGTAGTGATATTATTATCCTTATTATCATTATTAGCATTATAACTAGTATTCGTATTAATAGTATTATTATTAGTATTATAATCATTATTACTATCACTAGTACTATTATTATCATGCATTCGCATCCCGATTCTTATTATTAATATTGTTATTAGTATTAGTCGTATTCCTCTTCTTCTTATTGGTATTAGTATTTTCGTCGTAGTAGTAGTATTAGTAGTTTTTTACTAGTAGTAATAGTAGCATTCGTATCATGATTGTTGATACTAGTAATGATATCTTTATTACTATTATAATAACAAGAATGAATATTATGATTATTAGTAATATTCTAAGTGTTATTACAAGTTTTCATAATCTTGTTATCGTTATTAACATTATTATTGCTATTATCATCGCTCCTCCTCCTCTTCCTCCTCCTCCTCCTCCTCCTCCTCCTCCTCCTCCTCCCTCACTCCTCCTCCTCCTCCTCCCCTCCTCCTCCCCTCCTCCTCCTCCTCCTCCTCCTCCTCCTCCTCCTCCTCCTTCCTCTCCTCCTCCTCCTCGTCTTTCCCCCTCCCCCTCCACCTCCTCTCCTACTCCTGCCCCCCCCTCTCCCTCCTCCTCCTCCTCCTCCCTCCTCTCCTCCTCCCGCCTCCTCTCCTCCCCTCCTCCTCCTCTCTTCCCTCCTCCTCCCCTCCTCCTCCTCCTCCTCCTCCTCCTCCTCCTACCTCCTCCACCTCCTCCTCCTCCTCCTCCTCCTCCTCCTCCTCCTCCTCCTCCGCCGCCGCCGCCGCCGCCCCCCCCGCCGGCCTCCGCCCGCCTGTCCCGACGGCGTCCACGCTAATGTGGCGCGACGCGCCAATGGCCAGGCCCTCTCGAGGAGCGCCCCTGCGGATCGGGACCTCCCGAGGCCCGGCGCGCCCCCGCGCGCCCTCCCAGGGCGCAGGATCGCGCCCGGCCAGCGTCCGACCGAGATCGGCCCCAGGCCCCTCTCGAGCACCCCCCAGGGCCGCGCCGCGAGCCCTCTCCGGGCCTCCCACGTGTGGCGAAGTGGCCCCCTCTGGGAGGCCCCAGGAGAGACACACCGCGGAGCACACGCTGGACGCGCTCGTGGGGCAATCGAAGGCCACGCGCTGGGTGGCGGGAGGGGGCGGGGCCAAGCGTGCGCACCCGTGCGGGGGCCGAGGGCCGCAAAGGCACGTGGCCGCGCGTGCACGCAGCTCTCGCCCGCCCAGCCTCCCAGCAAGGGGGCAGCGCCGAGGGGGAGGGACAGGGAGTGTAGGGTTAGGTCGGGCATGTCCTCCTACCGGCGGATTTTGGACGAAAAACCGTTATATATATATATATATATATATATATATATATATATATATATGCACATATCTATACATATATATATATATATATAACCAAACGAGAAAGTAATCGACAAATCGTCCCGCGACTATTTTTTTGTACTTTGGAATGTTCTCCCTGTTGGGGGACAGGCCCGACGTGAGTGTCGGGCGACGGCATCTGCGCCGATCCTCGGCCCAGGCAGGATGGGCCTGGACAGCGGCGGTGGCGAATCATGGGAAACCGAAATGCCCTGGCTGAGCGCCCACTTTCCGAGTGCCGAAGGGCTTCCAGTAGCTCGGAATTGCGGGAAGCCCATAGGGCGGCGGCGTTCGCAAGGGAATGTGCCCAGGACGCTTCAGACCCTGGAGGCTTCCTTCTCGAATGAAGGCGGCGACGACATCCATGGCCACTCCACGATTGGACTTCCGCCGGCCTCCAGACCCCGGAACTCATCATCGACGGGCTCCTCATCCAATCCCGAGCATGCGACGTCCTGATGTTCGTCGGCACGGCGCGCCCGGAAGTCACGATCGTCTCCCCAGGACCGACCTCTCACCCTGCGTCGTCCCTTGACGGCCCCGGGGCCCGGCGAGGGCCTCCCGCGGCCGGAGGCGGTGCAAAAAGCCTCCGCCCTGCACTGCCCAGGCAGCCAGCTCGCTCCGATGTTCTCGATGCGTGGGCCCCGGAGGTCTGCACCGCTTCCCCGCAGCCGGCTTTTCTCCAAACAGACTTGCCCTATCGGAGTTCTAACTCAAACCCTACTAATTCGTCACGTTTGCTTGCTTGCCTGCTTGTTTGCTTGCCTGCTTGCGCGCTTGCCTGCGCGTTTG